AAGAAAATAACGATTGTAGAAACTACGCATGTTCTCGTACATACACACCGGTATGTGATGGACCAGAATACGAGGGGTAAACTGCTGAGGGCATTGTGGTGTACGGATTTGCGGCATTACTGGGCATTACTAGACATTTTTGGGCATTGGGCCTTGCTGGGGCATTGTAAAGATAAAATAAGATAAAGTAATGCCCACTGGGCATTGGTAGGCATTGGTGTACGTGATTCTGGTCAGCGGTTTACCCCTCGACAGAACTGTTGCGACAATTTGTTTTTTAATGAATTGAGAGACGTGCATTTAGCTTGAGGTTCACGTCCCAAGGCGTTTACTCCGAGGAAAATCTTACTTGAGAAATGCACGTTCCTAAACTCATGAAAATTGTCGCAACCATTCTGTCCAACACTGTATCTCGATACTTTTTCAAGATTCAGAAGTAACTTCGCAATCGGTGGAGATTAAAGTTGCGTCGATTATTGCAGTTGTTTCGCGTAGGCCCGTACATATGTTAAAATTCTTATTATTACGCTGTTTTGTTGACGCAAGAGGGAGGGACGCGGGTCCGACGAAGTAACAATGACGCAAATTTGGTTACATAACGATTCAAACATATACGCGTGCCAAACTTTCCTAAGAGATAACAAATACAACGTTTACGTAAGAGTTTTGATAAGAAAACGTTAAACACGCCTGCACGCCTGTGCGCGTAAACTTGGTAAAAGTAAAAGGAGAAACAATTTAAATTGACGAATGTGCGGGGAAGTGACGTTTAGGCAGTGCGAGCCGTCACCGTTGGGGCTGGTGTGAGAAATTTTTCTAGGAGAAACGCAAAGGCGGGCACCGCTACAAATCGCACTAATTAAGCCCGCGTGCGTTACGCTAAAGCGATTTATCTCTCAATCGTCGTCGATTACGGCGAAACAGTTTATCGCCGATAATACGCGGGGGCCTCGTTCTTCGCCGGCGTTAATTAATAATTAATGTACAAACGCACAAACGTGCGCGTGCTCACGACGAAACGTAATCGCGGGCGGAAGTCACTTTATACGGTAGCGCGAGCGGTTAATGCCTGCGGGGGCTGTTGGGCGTGTATTACGGGGGTAGATTTCGACGGTAGTCGCGGTAGCGACGGCGGTGGGTGCCATTAACAGTGTTTCGCCGGAAATGTAAAGCATAATGCGCCGGCAGCTCGTGGATATGGAACCTATTACCATCCGCGTGTATAATGCTACCTTCCCGCCACCGTCGCACCCGGCGTCTCGCCGCGTTGCGTCGCGTTGCGTTGCGTCTGCGGAACGTTCCACGGGAGTTTGAATTTGTCCCGCGACAACCGCGCGAGTTCATTCTTCCACGTCTCGTCCATTAAATCAGCAGGTAACGATCTTCGGCTCGTCGATGACGAGTTTTCAATTCCTGCAAGACTCGTCCATCTTCTCCAAGGATAATCGAACACGGTTCTTTGACAATTTGTTTCTTTAAACAATTAAGTCGTTTCTTTGCACCCGGGACTTTTAATTCGTTCCAAAATTAGAGTTGAATTCGATTGCAAGATTGATGCAATTATAAAGAATGTCTGGCACTCAGTGAGACATTATCGTTGACTTCATGAAAGATTAATTTGCCGGTTGATAATGAAAATATAAAAAAATATGTCGGAGTTATCTAGAAGACGTTTGCAAAGTCGCATGTTCGCTGAAGAAGAAACGCTTAAGTCTGATCTACAATGTACTCTTGCGTCTAAAAACTATTTCGTAGCCAATAAATACATCTCAAAAGTTCGTGCAAGTTGATAAATTGTACATTTTACAATCGTACATTGTCGACTTGCTTTTATAAAATAGAATGTTTCCAGACGCAAAGGACACATTGTAGATCAGGCTTTAAACCCAATCTACAATGTGCCTTTTGCGTCTAAAAACACTCTATTTTGTAGCCAATAAATACGTTTCAGAAATGTGCGCAAGTTGATAAATTGTACACTATACATTTTACAATCGCACGTCGACAAATTTTTCAAGCGTTTTGACTTGCTTCCTATAAAATAAAATGTTTCTAGACGCAGAGAGACCACATTGTAGCTCGGGCTTGAAGTAAAAGGAAAAACAAGAAAGGTCCACACGGCACTTCCCTCTATAACTTGAAACGCCAATTTATATTTCCAAGATTATGACACGTATCTCACGTTACGATTACTCGAAAGAGAAATTGAAGAAGTACTCTCTTGGCCGCGCGTGTAATAACTCTTCTTTATCCGACGTTTAATCTCGTCGGATTTAAATAGCATATGACTGGGGAGAAAAAAGGAAGCCTCTCGGAAAACCGCTGTTCCGTTGGCGACTCCGCGCGAGATAGAGTCGAGTTCGAGTTCACTAAATCGACAGCTTGGCGTCTTGCAAACAGAAGTGACGTGATCCTGTTTGCGCTCAGTCGGGCATAATCCAAGGTAATCCTCTTGCACAATATGCGAATGCAATGCGTTCTAACCCTCCTCTTCCTCCTCCCACCTATCCCACCCGTGTCTCCCGGCTCTTTCTCTTCGTGTCTACGTAAACGCGCGCGCCTTTCGCGCCTCTCGTCCGGCTCTTTCCTCTTTTCCGGCTGTATCTCATCTTCTTAGCACAAGGAAGCGCTTTCCCGTATTGCACGGCGCAAAGAGCATCGTGGATAATGAAAGGGAAAAAGAGGGAAGTATCTTGCGCAGACACTTGCGCCGCCTCGCGCAACTTGAACCCTGTCGCGATAATGTGCGGAAGTGCGAATCGTCTTACAAATTATAACGTGAATTTCACTCGATTCGATGAACCCTGAGCAAACATTCCTGTGAGAGAGACGTCTTTGCTAGCACTGACGTTTTTCTTTCGCCGGCACATGCGGGAAAAATATATCAACTTGCGTATCTCAATAAAGTAGCGTGTGTACGAATATCGTTTGACGTGTTACGTGTTACGTATTTTTGGATTTTAAGTAACTTCGTCGGGATTTTAAACTTGACAATCACTTCTCATTTTATATTAGGCGAATGAAGCAAACCTTGAAGGTCTATATTACAGCACTGACATCATTGTGGGCATTTAAAATCGATCCCGATTGAAGTGAAGCGTCCGGATGTTACTATAATTTCCATAATGTATTTTGCAACGTACTTTGCATCGACGACGAGATTCAATATTTAATTCCTTCGGATTTAGTCTCTTCCTTCAGGAAAGTAGACTGTTTCCTCCTACAGTTCCTCGTATGTGTTTTATATACTAAAGCACTGATGTATCATTGAGGGCATTTAAAATTGATCCCGATTTAAGTAAGTGAAGCGTCCGAGGGGGAAAAACCGCTGAGGGCATTGTGGTGTGCAGATTTGCGGCATTACTGGGCATTAGGCCTTGCTGGGGCATCATAAAGATGTAATAAGATAAAGTAATGCCCACTGGGCATTAGTGGGTGTAGAAGATTTTGGTCAGCGGTTTCTCCCCCTCGGAAGCGTCCGGATGTTACTGTAATTTCCGTAATGTACTTTGCAATATACTTTGCATCGACGACGAGATTCAGTATTTAATTCCTTTGGGTCTAAGCTCTTCTTTCAGGAAAATAGACCGTTTCCTTTTACAGTTCCTCGTGTGTGTTTTATATTGCACACGGAGCGATACAACTCGTACGCTCTCAGCCGACTAACCCTTTCCGACACTAATTATCGCGCTTAGCTCCATTTTCATCCCCTCTAGTACCACCACCTCTCACTTCACCCTCTTTTTTTCTGTCTGCGGTAGTGAAAAATACACTGGAGGGTGTTACGTTCACGAGTAGTTCGCATCTTCAACGAACGCGATCCTCGGTAATTAAAACACTTTATGCCGTCAATGTTCAGGAAGATTCGTTTTAAAAATGATTTACGTTCTTTCTATTCAAGATACACCAAGCCGGACTGGTACAATGATATTATGCATGCAATTGCTAGTGAATATGAACAATAATATGTGAAATAATGAAATGCGCGCGCGTTGTTCGACAGATAATTTATTTTAATAACATTTACTGTAATTCTTATCAGTTTCTTTTGAGCTTGCACAGAAAAAAAATCATTAACAATGTATCTCGTGACTCTAAATCCAATTTTACTTGAGACGAAAGGTTCGACAAGATTTATTCTCCATTATTTAACTCTTCCGAGTTTCGCTGTCTCGCCAGTAGAATCGTGTAACTTTTCAGTTTGTTCTCCAATATCTATAGTCGAAAGGACACATCTGGTGGCTTCAGGCTATATTTGTCTCCTTTCTCTCCGTGCGCTTGGTAGAACGTAGAAGGTTGTTGAAGTAGATTATAGATACGTTGCGGTAGGATAGGAACCGCGCGTTTAGAGGTAACAGCGCGGGAAGAGATCGGTTTATTTGCCCGTTCAGAGCGACGCACATGCGACCGCGATATGCAAATGACGCAGATTTACACAGGTGCCATAGATACGTACAGTTTCACGGCGCCGAATTAACTACGACGTTTGTACCACGACGGGACAGTTCGGGCGGGTCGTCGCAACCGCCAAGGGCCTGTTGAACGAGAGCCGCGCCATTCTTTCGTTAATTTCGCGTTAATAATTGCCTAAAGTCGCCTCGTTGTGCAAATCCTCTGCACGTGTGCGCCTACATCTCGCTACGTTGCGAAGCTACACGGAGGGAATTTTCTCTGAAAATTTATCCTGAAAATCATGTGAGCGTGTGACAACACGGCGTTTTGAAGAACTTCATGAGAGTTTTCTGAAATTTTACCATACATTTTATTAGTAAAATGTATAGTAAGTAGAATTACTAGTCAAACGTATGGTAAAATTTCACAAAACTCTCATAACATTCTTCGAAATGCCGTGTTGTTCCACGATTACATGATCTAGATAAATTGTAAGAGAAAATTCGTGTAGGCAGCATCTTCCTAAATCAACCTAATTTTCCGGCGAAGCGTCATTCGCTTCGTGCGTGAGCGGAATTTTCTCTGACGATATTAATTATGGGTTTCAGTGAACGAAAGTGCTCAAAGGCCCGAAGATTCTGCCTTCGCAGCAACTGGGCGCTGCGGTCGCTCCATGGCCGGGCGCAACCGGCCTCATAGCTTCGGTCACTGCTGACGACATGGCACACAAAGGTGAGTCTTCCAACATGTAATTGGAAAATCTCAAAAATTTTGCCGTCGATCGGTGCGCGCAACTGAAGACGCGGTTATTAAAAATATGCGGAACTGTAGGGAGATCATTATCGGGAATATCGAGTCGAACAACTGCAACTTAATTACGACTCTTAATTCGCACATCATCAGGAAAGATATTTATGTTACCGGGACAAAAAATATTCTGACGCATTTCTCACAACCTCATTTAGTATAAAAATAAGACAATATCAAAATAAAATCAGTAATTCTCATTCTCCTCTATCGAATTAAAATAGATTGACTTACTATATTGAGACTAGAGTAACTTTATATATTCTTGCGGTTGGAATAAATTTTCCCTCCCAACGCACGAAGTTGGCATCACGATTATTCGACAAAAGACGACACATACTATCATTTTATTCTAGATTTTAGAATTTTTCATTTGAGATAAAAATATTCCTTTCTCTATAATAAACACGATTAGCGCTATATCGATCCTATTTTATGATACATTCAAATGTAATAGCATTGAATCCCGAATTTTTTTCTGTGAGTCCAGTTCTGAAATACGTTAATCGACGAGTAAAAATTACTCGTGACATAATAATTTGATTACGACGAGATAAAAAAGCCGCTGTGTACGTGAGATAAAAAGACCGTAAGGCGCGCGGGTCCATCGTGACCCCCAAAAATGTATCGGAGGATCCTCCGCGTCGACCTTTGACCATACGTCAATTTCTAATCCGGCGTTCCATTACGACGTGCCATCACGCGAACGATTATGATAAAACCCTTACGGAGGCGGGGCCCTCTCTCGTTTTCTCCCTCCGTAGAAGCATAAAACTTAACGATCTCTGGACGATGACTACGAAATGCCGATGGCGCATAACCACCATACGTGCGACGAATTCTCTTTCTACGATTTTGCATTAACGACGTCCACACTTACATGCACACTAAAACTAGCGCCACTCTATGCGCGATTCGTGATTTGTGATCCGCAGAAATTCGTTGGGCATTCGTTATTACTTACCAAGTTACCACACTATTCGCAATTTACCTCACTATGATTAGCTGCGATAACGAAAATATTTTTCAGTGCAGTTTTCGCGATTTTGCAGAATGCAAATCCCGTGAGGAGTCTGTCGTCCTGGCTCAAGTGAGAAATTCTCAAATCAGCGCTGGGGGTATCAAAGAGCATCGTGACGACGGTTAAGTGCGTTTCCGAGGTGATTCCGCGTACGCGACGGCTCCTCTTTTTCTATTAATCCGCGCGCATACACTGCCCGTATTAATTCGCGAGACGAAGTCTCGGCGAACGTAAACTATGTCCGGAGATATTACGGATAATTCGAATTCTAGCCCCGGACGAATCGAAACGTCCGAGAATCAAGGGGGAGGCGTTCGGTTGATGGCTAAGGCGTTTAACCCCATTAGTCCTGAATGGAACCTCTCGTCTCTCCCTCCCTCCTGCCCTCTCTCTTTCTTGTTCTCTCGTATAACCCACCCCCGCGGTCCCTCTCGCTCCCTCCAACTTTCTGTCACTGGCGCTTCCCCCGCTCCCCACCCACCCCCTGTTCGAGCTCTCTTAACACAAGGGTCCGAAGAGGATGGGCAGACGACGTCTCAAGGCTTTCTAAAGCCGGCAACTTCTGCCTGAAACTGGCTGCTCACTTCACGTATTGATTTCCATTCTCTTACGCCTTCCAGTCCTCACGCTCCTCGTCCGCCTCGCCGTGTCTTCCGGGCCCACCGGTTCGTTCCTTCCGCGGGATCCTTCGCTCCTCCGCCGCGAGATCATAATTTCTGTCCCTTGACATCCTGATAGTCGTCGTATAACTTAGCTAAAACGCCAAGCTAAAGAGGAGCATCCGAACGCGACGTCTTTATCCGATGACTCGTATACTCCTTGCGCTTAATCTTCGCCACATTTTGTTACGCATTTGTCTCTGAATATATTACATTACAACATACAAATGGTGGAACACGTTGGGGAAATACCAATGATTTAATAGATAGGCTATTGTGTGGTTGACTCTAAATCTGAAAAAATCGATATAACATTGAGAAAATAAGATACATTTAACTTATCATCAAGAATTATTTCACGCCAGTGCATGACTAACAATAATTCAGCTTTCAATCGACCTCACCAATTTGACGCCCGTCTAGAGTGTAGGGAGGTCCAGGTTCAAACTCTGGCTGCGGTAATTAAAAATACATTGCCAGTTGTGGTCGATTGAAAGTTTAATTATTATTTAACTTATCATTAGATCGAGTAGTTTGTTATACTAACATTCGGAGTAGCTGAAAAAAGATACGAGTACAATTTTCAGCAAAAGTGATTGAGGCTTGTTTTTCTCTTCATTTGTTTGTGTACACGTTAGTCGCGATAATTGAATCTTTTGTGATCGTTGCATCCGCAACGCGTCCTGTTTGTTTTTTTGCGGATTGAAACAAACCTCGCGGGTCCGTAATCGATTATATCAATTTTAATCAAATCCCCTCCCCCCGCCCCCCGCATATATTTCAAAACCATTTTGTTATTTCGTAGAAACAGTCTATTTATTAACGGTTCACCATGTCGCAAAGGATTTTAATCTCGCGTGCTTTAGACATGTACAAAGCGCTAAGAGCTAGTATTATCACAGAATTTACTTTAGTAATTTATTGAAAATAATTGTTTTTCGTTGAAATCCTCCTTTTCCTCCAAACTCTCTTACAGCGAATTCGGTTGCTTGCACTAATGCGCACTGAGTGCACATTAAGGCCTGTTTATAGTCAATTCTTATATTCAACTTTGTCTTAAATACGTCTTAAATACGTGCTCGAAGAGGATTTAGGCAAAAAATGATCCGTACACTGATAAAAAATATTTTAATCCAAGAAAATATTACTTTACTCAAGAAAATTATTCATTAGGTGGCTCCTAATAGCTTCTTAACTTAAATTTGCAAAATAATAAACCACTTGAAACATGCATTTCTTTAATTTAAGCATTTATTAGATATCGAACAGTAGATAATTTTAAATTTAAAAAATTTTACCTCAATTAGATTTACTTTAATTAAGATATAAGTTTTACAGCGAAGAAAATTGGATTTCTTATTTGACAAAAACAATGACTTCATTTAATAAATAATATTCTGTATCTCATGATATCTTTATTCGAATGTAGAAAATGTAATGATTTAAATTAATTTACTTAACCTAATGCATAGATTTACTTGAAATTTGATATTTTTATTTAAATAAAATAAATATTTACTTCAGTAAAAAAGTAATTTTAGGTAAACCTATTCACTTAGTTTAAGAAAATTTTTTGTGTCAGTGTACTGATGCACAGATCATTCTATTGACTAAAAAATATTTCAAGAGGTATTCAAGACAAGCCTTAAATATAAGAATTGACTATAAACAAGCCTTGATGTGCACTCAGTGCGCACTAGTGCAAGCAACCGAATTCGCTATTAGTTATGTACAGTATGTAACAATGCAAGTAACTTATCCTTATGGACTCTGGCCGTTACATTCGTTACAACAACGAACGCCACTTCCTCGTGTAATTCAGAGTGTTTTAGAAGATAGAACAGTTTGACAGTGGGATAACAATTATATAATTGTTATTCCGTTACGTAAGCGTATGTGAAGGGTTTGTTACATGCCTTGCGATTACGAAAGTCTAAAAATAATCGGCCCCCCTCGAAGAATCCGTGTAGCGAGCCA